GTGTGTGTGTGTGTGTGAGAGAGAGAGAGTGAGTGTGTGTGTGTGTGTGTGTGTGTGTGTGTGTGTGAGAGAGAGTGCATCAAATCATTTCAGTAATTAGCTCTTCTCGGCTCTCACCCATGCTGACCATAAATTGCACTGCTAAAGGAGATCTGAGAGGAAAAGACGCAAGTCCTTTAAAGTTGTGACCGGTCCTTGTGTGACCTCACTCTAGCCTCCAAACCTGACTGTAACAGCCAGTAGAAAAGTAAAAGAGGATTGAAGGTGTTTCTGGACCCCTGCTAGCAGAGATGGATCTAAATTATAGTTGTGTTTTTATATGTCTGATGTTAAATCTCATGGAGTTCCCATTTTTGGGTTATTGTTGAAGATGATGGAAGTGTCAAAAGTGAATTAAGATCTTTTTTTAATCTTGAAAGTTAGCTGTGTCATTGAGTGGTCAGACCACAAATGTATTAACAAGCAGTCTACACTTGTAGTAATACCTGGAGGAGACGTTATGTTAATTGCGATTTTCACACAACATATGTCATACAGTTATAACAAGTTCATTAGTGTATTAGTGGGTGCTTACACACTAGAGGAAGATCTGATGGAGCGTTCGGTGGATAAGGCATGTGTTAGATCCATTTTGAGAGTGTGGAAGAGGTTGAAATCGAGTGAAAATACAGCGAATGGATTTCTGAAACTCGACTCACCTCTCTAAGAATCTCTGCTATTGGTCAACAAATGCATGTCGGTGCACACTGCAGCAGAAGTAGTCAGCGTTTTCGCAACTTTCAAGTGTTATACTTTTGTCCTCTTTGAAATCAATGGATTTGCAATGTTGCAGTAAATCAGTTGTGGCAGAAACTGTGAATGTGTCGGCATTCTTACCGACACCGCAGTGAAAAAAAAAAAAGTGGATTGTCACACTAGAACCACCTAAAATTACCCATAAGTCTTATACCCAAGTATGCAAAAGGCCTCTTCTTTTCACTGTTTTTTCTCTCAGAAAATAAGATGTTTGTCTGGTGTCTTTGTAAAGATCTTGAAGGCTTCAAAGACTTTTTCGCATGGACTATCCAATCTGTGTATCATATGTAAAGCTTTGTTGTGTCAAACAAAATATCTGCTTGGAACAATTTCCAAGTTACAGAATGAAAGCATGACAGTTATCTTTCAAACTGTTAAGTGTGTTGCTGCACTGAATGTTGGGTGAATTATGAAAGGAATCACTGTTTATCGCCTATGCAAAGAGAGAGAGAGAGATTTGCACTGAAGTTTTCAAGGACTTAGCACTTTCTCCTCAGGAAACGAAAGGACTGATGCACTCTGATATTGTCTGAAGAGGTTTAAATGGTGGGTGTAAAAACGCATCAGAAATCTCAGTCACAGCTGTTTTGAATTGCACAATTTTTTATGACTGAAATTAAAAAAAAAATCCTTTAGATTAAACCACAGATTTCTGTAAATTATGTATTTTGGAACAGTACTATTGTGTAACCGGTTGGATGTGATTTTTTTAGACAATAAATTTTGACAAAGCATCATGAAAACTGTGGTCATTTTATTTTACAAATAATAAAAATAAATTGAGAAACTGTTATGAAAAAAAATCACCAGTTACAGATTTTTAGTACTACAGTTTTGTTTGGATGGTCACAAGGGGTTTATTTGCTACTTTAAATTTAAGCTTGTTGTCATATATCAGATCTGAGCATCAGCTGTTTAAAAAGTGTAGATTATCAATCCCACGGCAGCTGTTCAGATTCTGAAGTAGTAAATGTGAAACGTGTTGGTTTTGCCATTTCAGCAGCACATGCTCATCAGGTCTTTCATGTGTATGGATTAGTAGTTAACCTGGGCTTCAGGTTTGTTCTTACCTAAATGGTGCTCATCCGCTTATTAGCTGAGCCAGTCTAGACCAATGCCTAATGAGATTACAGTCATCACAGTATGAATAACACAAAGCACATTCCCCTGTCTGAATCTTTTACTAACAGAAGACTGAAAAATTAGAACAAGAAAAAGAAGTAGTGGAATTGATTTTTGGTTTTGTGAGTTTGGGTTGATAATTTGTGCAGCAATTGTTCTGCAAACAATAGGAAGCTATGCTATGCTGCGTTGTGGGTTTTTCATCTTTCTTTGTTGAATTTGAGCAGTAAAATCTGTTTCGGTGCTGTGGTTGCTAGGGAAACTGTCTTTTGGGGCTGCTTTTGGTAGGTGAGTTAGGGAGAGTATCCCTCTTGCAGTTTGTCAGTGCTTTGGCTATCTTCAGTGTCTGCCACTAGATGACACAGTGAAAGGATAGGAGGGATTGGACAGGAAATACAGTAACTGATGTGAAAGTAGCAGTAATAATAATATAAATAGTGACAATTTAGAGGCGTTTTCCCTTGATTAAAAGAGGAAAATACAAATATTTGGATTTAATTGTATGTTCATTAATAATGTATTGCAATTGCAATATTTTGTACTCTTGAACACTGAAGAGTACCATAATACAATATAATATCACATAAAGAATACATATTAGCATACTGGTAAAGCTACCATAATACTTGACAATATATATAGATACCATTTTTTTTCATTACAATAATACATTTTTGGTACTTTATAATATGTTTCAGTTTTTTTACATTATTTCATGAAATAGCTGACAAGAAATAGCAGTATAAAATACTTTTAAAGCATTAATTAAAGTTAATATAAATTTTATTAATGTATTATAGATGAGGTCCGTGTATCATCTGATCATCCAATTATTCCATTCAATCTGGCAAACAAAAAACAGTATCATCAGAATCATAATTAATGTTCTTACATATAAAAGTAATAAACAACCCTCACTATCAGCTAGGGCTGGACGATATGGCCAAAATTTATATCACGATATATTTCTTAATTTCGGTCAATACGATATAATTCCGATATCGATATGAACACTATTAAAAAAAGCCTCATAAAAACGGCCAAGAATGGCCACAACAGATGTCTGTACCTACAAACTTATGAAAAATTAATTTGCCAACTCTATGAAACCTACTCCTATAAAACTATATAATATTTTAGGAAAAAAATGGCGCAAATAAATAAATGTTCACCTTTTATTGGTATTTAGCCTTCATACAAACAAGAAATGTGAAATCACTGTCAAATAAATCTCAGACACTCCTTATTTATATTAATATTAATATTTTTTTACTTCAAACTATAGGCTAACATACCAGTAAAAAGTTTTTGAACGGTGAGATTTTTAATGTTTTTTAAAGAATTCTCTTCTGCTCACCAAGCCTG